AAGTAGGTGACGTCATTTTTAACACATTTTGATGTGTAAAAACAACACGTGTTTGACAATTTAGATCTGCAGTGCATTTAGGAACATTTGAAAGTTCTAGATAAATTCTACTGGAAAGTTTTCATGTCACTCTTCGTATAAGTTTGTTAAAACATTGTTATTGTTATCAACAGTAAAATTGATCATGCGGATAAGTAAGTTTCAGTATCGTAATAGTGAGTTGGCATTCGGTTCACTGCAAATCCATATAAATTAAAATAAAACACTTTAAAGATGTTCAATGTAAAATGTCCATCAACAAACTATATATGATTTATAGACACTTTTACACGTTTCGTAGTGTGTGAAAAATCTATAACTTGTTTAAAAGTGTTTACAAAAATAACACAGTTGAATTTGCAGTGTTATTCTATAGTGTGGTAATTTAATTCTAAATTTTGAATACACGGAGAGAATTTTTTCACTAAATGTAAGAGTAAAAATGACAAATCCACGTTTCGAAATTTAGAAGTAAAAATATTTCTGCTCAACAGTGAATTTTGGGTTGTCGTAAATAATTCTTTTACTAAGACACATTTTAAGTCTCAAGTTTACTTACAAGAACTCAAAATTATTATCAAATACAATCTTTTTTGTGTAGTATATCATATTATAATAAGTTACAGATACAAACTCATTTATTTTCCTTTTTATTGCACACTTTAATCGACTACGAGCTCTCGAATTACCTCACCCCATTCGATTTTCTCTGTGCTAAATCAAACAGTTTAATTGATCGATCGTTTTTTTCATGAAAATGATGAGCAGGGAAATGATAATGTGCATATAATTCGATTAGACGTGCTTGGAAGATAAAATAAATCGCGTATAACAATAGTTTAGAGTATGCTACTCAGATTAGATTGCTGAATTAAGTCGTCCGTCAGGGATCTTGGCAAATCGGGCATCATAATTGACGCTGACACTTTCGCCACGTGTCTTTCTTCACTTTTTGCCCCTTACAATAAAACCTGTCTGTATATTATTACTGGTGCAATCATAACTTTAATTCTCGATATCGAATCAAATTACATACGCCGACTGTTCAAGCCGAATCAACGCGTGTTCTTGCCCCTGAAGTTAAAACGAGCAAGTTGGAGTCATGGACTGCTGCCTGTAGCACACCATGATAATGCATTCTATACCGATAACTGTACCGATCGTTCGTCAATCCAACGGTTACATAACATACTTTCTTGTTCACATAAGCTCGTTCTTTATGACGCCCTTTCTATAGCGACACGAGTGGTCACGTGTCCTATTTCCCTTCACCCCTCACTCCTGTCTGTATGCATCCTGACATCGACAACGAGCCACCCACTTTAGACACCCTCTTTCTTGTATAAAAGCTTTCATCTGGATATACTTGTCTTCTTCTCTCTCGTTATCTCATCACCCTTTGAACAATTTAATAAAAACCTACTTAGTCTCGCGAGCGGTGTCGCCGCGGAGACGACGCGTGCCGCTTTGCGTGCGAGAAAATATGCCAGGGATCATTTTATGTTCAAATACTTGGGTTTTTAGTAGATTCTTTTTTTTTTTCAATTCTTTTGTGTTGAAAATATGCTATTAAAATATTTTCAGAATGTTTTATTACATTTTGTACTTTGAAATATATTTGGAGTAGGTAATTGTATCCACTTCTCTATTTTTGAATTTCATTACTTTAACTTTAAAACAAAATGAAAGCAGTAGAAGAATTACTTTGATTAGTAATAAACAAGAAACAATTACTTTTTTTTTTTATTTGAACCCATTAATAATTTATATTTTGAATAAAAATAAGTCTGGGTATATTTTGCACTTTGACATTAAAATGTTTATTTATCAAATCATATTGTATTAATATTGGTTTAGTTTTTTAACCATATTAATTATTTGATAAGTAGAATCTATCTTATCAAAATATAGATATCATATTAGGGTCTACTTTATTAGTTTATATATATTGAAAGAATTATTAATAATTCTTAAGACATTAAGAATGATGTAACGAAGAAGCAAAACTTTTTCCAGGTGAAAAAAAAAATTCAGTGGAGTTTACAAACTTTTACAAATATGTTTCTCTATACCAATTGTACAATTGTATGCGACGAATAATTTTATAAGATTTATAATTCGTAATACAACTACACTGTAAATCTCAGTTTTCCAAAATGCATTATTTTAATGCGGATAAGTGTGTTAAATATGATGTCACCCACTTCATTAACATTGTAGTCACTTTTTAAACATTTAGATCTGCGTTACACTGATAGAAGAATATATTTGGTGGGACTAAATGAATTCATTAAAATTATTTCACAGCATTTATTTGATACAAATAAAGATTTATTTGTAGGTAATAAATCTTTTTTACTTAGCTGTCCGATATTATTATATTTATAAATAAAAGTTATTTTACACGGAAAAAAAAGTGATGTAAAATCTACATGCGTAGGTGTAATTTTTATATCAAAAGTATAGTTAAAAAAAATGCAGTTAATTTTATTCTGGTTAAATGATGTTAAATCTACAATAGCATTTGCCGTAGAATTTACAATAATATTTTGCAGTATTTTTTACCACAGTTTTATGTTAGTTTGACATCAAATTTTTTACAAACATAACTATAGCATTTTACTAACCAGAAAAGATAATGAGTAATGTTTTGAATTATCATCAAATAATTGTAATTACGAGTCATTAAGAAAACTGAGGAAAACAGTTTACAACACTTTAACAATTTACTGGTCATGAATTTTATTTCAAAATAGAAAATTCCATTGACAATACAAATTTCATTACATGAAAATATTATAATGAATACCTAGTTGTAATCATCAATGAGCCATTTTTATTTATTAACAAACATTTTATTATATTTCCTAATGAAGAAATATTTACTAACTTGTTCTTAGTACAATTTTTGAAACTTTTCATTACTTTATACGCATGATAATGACTGTTAAACCCGAGTGTTGTATAATGATTGATACAGAAGTAAAATTTTCCATTAATTTGCAGAACGTTTACTATGATTCCAAATTCTGGTCCTTCCTGACTTAAGTCTACAACTATAATAGAATCTTTTTCAAATCTTTGACCCATAATTTCTATCCATTTTAGAGCTTTGACATTGGAATTAGTACCAAATACAGATTTTATATGATTATCAATGTTATAATTAGGTATAATTGGACCATTAATGTATTTTTGAATAATACAAGGATTATAATTTGTAAAACACATTTTTAATTGATGCCTTAAAGTCAAAGTTAATAATATATTTTTCATTGATCCGGATATATTTGCGGTAGATTTTAATTCATGATTTTTAGACTCAAATCTCATAGACCATAAATGCATTAGTGGTCCACATTTCAACATAATTGCAGGATAGTGAAGTTTTATATGAAATTTAAATTGTAGATGAGAAGCAAATTTTAAATACAAACTTAAAAACTCTTCAATCAATGTTTTAAACAATACAACATGACTTCTCAACACTCTAGGTGATGTTATTATATCAACTATTTGTCTTAATTTCAGATATAATTGCCAAACACAGTTATCCTCTTCTACAAATTCACCAACCATTAATCCAAAATAACGTACAAAAAAGAGCATTTCTGCAGCAGACATTTTAATTTGTTTTTTTTTTTTTATATGATCGGCTGATATAAATGGAGGCATATTTGAAAGTTCTAGTTTACCATAATTGAATGTATCGATTCTAGAATTTAGAGTGTCTAAAGAAAATCGATTCTCAACAAAAATTAAGTGATTTAAAACAATGACCATTGTATAATTTGCAGTGCCTTCCAACACATCGTGCATAATATCAACAGTCTGATTTATGCAAACATGGAAATCATCTATTTCATTAAAAATACATTTTTCTTTAATACCTGTCAGTGAATAATTGTTTATTTTTAGACTCTTTTCATATTTTTCTGGACTACGCAAAATCCTTACATTTTCAGTAGTTTGATTATTCATTTCAAGATAAGGAATTTCGCATATTCTACAGCAATAGTTTGCACTGAAGCATTCTACAAAACCGAATATTGAATGCAATCCCAAGTTGTCACCAATAATAGCTCCACATTCAAAATATATCTTAATATTTTCATTTTTAATAGATATTGTTATACCATTTTTTTTCAGATCATTTAATTCTTCAATTAATTTTGCAAATATTGCTCTATTGCCAAATTCTTTTCGGTCATTAGAATAGAATAAACAAACAAGAAAAATACTACTTAATCGTGAAGCATACTGCTTTGGAAGACATGGAATAGACATATATACAACACCTAATTTGTTGTTTCCTGCATGACTTCCTAAAGCATTACCGACCTCCAAATCATCGAAAAAAATAAAAAGTGGTAAAAAGAATTTAGTTCCATGATTTTTAGTCTTAGAACGCCAAAGATCACCTTGTATAAAATTAGATAAAATTTCTGGTTCATTTTTCAAATGCTCAACGTACTTTTTAGTTTTATCGTATAGTTCAGGTATACTAAAAATCGATTTTAATGTATTTTTTAAAGGAATATATTGTCCAAACACATCCTTTGGTTCTGAAACAATAATTCCATTGCGTTTAGATTCTACAATTCTTGAACCAATTTTATATTGAATAGGTAATACAAGAAATCCTTTGTCATAAAAATATTTTAATCTTCTATGCTCAGTTGAAAATATTTCAAAACAACTAATAGCAGAATTAAGTATACGTGGAATATCATTAATGACAACTTGTTCACATTTATTTATTAAATAATATTGAATTTGTTTTATTATATATGGAACGTAAAGTTTTCTAATAAATTTTGTCAATTCTTCAACGATGAACTGAACACAGTTTCGTGGTATCATTGAGTTGTTATACAATGATAACCAGAATTTACCCAAAAATGTTTCTAAATTAATAGAAAAATCATCAAATGTCATATTCATTTTGAATATGTAAAAATGAATGTGATAAATTATAATTTATAGTCTTTTAACATTTAATTTTTATATCTATTTAAATCACTTATAAGACGATTGACACATGTAAATGATGAAGTTTTTTTTGTAACTTCATAAATGTATTTTTCTAGAAATTCCCAAACGTGTTCACACTCTACTGAGTAAGTTGCATTCAATGCGTGTATGATTTTAAAACATGTGTCTATTGCTTTTAAGGGGGTAGGTAAAACATATCGCTGATCATTTATTACTACAAACGAACTTTCGATGTTATCTAATAGTCCAATGATGACTACAAAAGGCTGAAGAGTCAATTTATGCTGCTTGTAAATCCTAATTTTGCTTTCTATATATGGTTGTAGTTCATCAATAGTCTGTAGAAAAAAAAACAATAAAATTGAAACTGAAACTTGAATTGCAATGTTAAAAAAAATTACAACAGAGATTGTAATATTTTTTAATTCAAAAAATTCTGAAACACTTCGTTTTTGAAGGAGTTGAAATTCATAAAAATTTATTTACCTCTGCATGAAAAAGAAATGATTGCTTAATGTCAGTTATATTTGGTCTCCAATGTTTTCCTGATTTTTTAGATTTCTTGTTTATTGTACCCAATAGTAATGGAAGTAATTCAAGGGCAATAATCTCAATATTACCAAGATCTTTATAGAAAATATAGTCATGAAAATTACAATTAACGTTAATATTTAAGTCGTTAAGACAAATGAAGTTACCTGAATCGTTCGCCAATAATATATTATTAGTCTTGAGGTATTGCGATACTTGATAATCTTTTCGTTTCTTACTAATATTAATAATTTTTTTTGCAACCGATGGCCATTTTAGAATTAATTTATCAACTGCCTCTTTATGAATTTGTTTAAAATCTGATTCAAACTGTAACAGAAAATTTCATTTGCAAACCTTTGTATTTAATACATGCATCAATATATTATAATACTTTTATTCAGAGGAATTAACTATGAAATTTACCAATAAATAAGCAGATGGTGTCTTCAATACATTGAATGTATTAAAATACATATCAATTCGTTCTGTATGATAAGCCAATCTTTCTTTAAAACTTTCTTGCCATTTTAAAAGCACTTCACTAAATGGTTCTATATGATTTTTAAGCCATAATAATGAATCACTCAACGGTAAAATATCGTTTGTATTGCTTATTTCATCTATAATTTAAAAAAATAATCAATAGAGATATTAGAATAGTAAACAATTATTGAATGAATAAAATTAAAAAAAAGCTAATTTCATCATTTTTAAAAAACAAAAATATTGAATAGTGTAAGTTATTCGAATTTAAAAAATATTTACGTTGATCTATATTAGAATCAGAAGTAAGGATTTCTAATTCAAATAAAGTTCTTCTCAGATTGATATATTTATCATACAGAAGTCCTCTAGCACCAATAGGACCATTTGTGCCTTTTGTCCAGGGTGTATAATATAAGTCTTCTTCTTCATCAGGAAATAATTCTACTAGATCTTTTGTCAACTTTTTAAATCTCTCAGCTGTAATCCTAATTGAAAACAATTATAAAGAAAGTTAATTTTCAACTTCCCAAAACATAATTTAAAATATTCCATCAATAGCTACGTACTTGAATTTTTTACTGTTTTCTAATTCTGATTCAATGATTACACTAGTGAGTAACCGTCGGTTTATTGTGTTCTTAAGATTAAATTCTGCTAGAATAAGCCTTCCACGAAAACATTTTAATATAGGTTTAATTTCATTTTGAGAGTTTCCTAAATATTCATTGACACAGAAAAAAGTAAATAAATACATTTGAAAGGAAGAACTGGAAATCTTACTGGATGATGTTGAAGACAGAGGCATAATAGGAATTTTCGATGTTGGAAGATTTGAAGTTGGTGCAGTTTTTTTTTTTGGAATTGGAGAGATTGTTTTTTCATTAGAAATAGAATTGAGATTTGAAATAAAAACTTCATTAAGACCGCTGATAGTTGATTCAAGCAAAAGATTTGACTCTTCTAAACTATCATCATGATTTACATTATTATTGTTTTCAATTATATGAATACTTTCGTTATTAATAATAAAACACGATTTATTATATTTCGACATAAAATTGTTATATTCTTTTAAGAATTTATATCTTAATCCAATTTGTGGAATGAGTTCAACAATAAGGGCATCAGTTAAATTAGTAAAAACTTCTTTATCAACTATATTGACTGTAAAAGTAACAAAATTTGAGAATGAATATAAATTATATAGAGAATTGAGTTTAACCTAAAAAATTTTTTGAGTGAAACTATTAATTCCTCTGAACACTAATTATTATAAATAAATCAATTTTTCATATTTTAAATTTGAATAAAGAATACTATTGTTGAAATAGGTTTTTTTACTTACTGTTGAAATGATCAATTAAATTTTCTAGATTCCACTTTTTTAAAAGTTGTTTAACAAACTCATCCATTGTTACAAACTTAACACACAATTTATACACAAATATCACTTTAATGTTGACAATGGAACAGACAATTTTGATTTAATAACAATCTCATTTATGATCCATCACCTTCTCGGTTTTTACACAAAGATAATATTACACTATATTTTTATAATGTATTTTCACGAACAATATACGTTGTCGATAGAAAAATCCACGCTTGAGCAGCGACTAAATAATACGAAAATTTTTATTTTGCCACTAACAATGTGATCTGTATCTCTTTCTCAGAAAACTGAAGCTCAGGCGGCAAAGAATCACAACAAAACAATGAGTGAGACTCGCAGTAGCGACGCGTGTCTAGATATTCTAAAATTACTCGAAACAGTTGATCAACTCTATTATTGCGATTTATTTAATTCTAGCGTTACTCAAAACAGTTACATAGATGGCGCTAGAATTTATAAATTCAAAAAATTTAAATAATTGATCGGTAAATTATCGATCAATAAATCAATGAAAAAAATGTTTGTTTTTTTCGTATTTTTAATTATAAATTCAATTATCAAAAAATGAAATCATTTTTATTTATTCATTAACTAATTTAATTATCTTTTATATCTTATCGCAATTTTTAGTTCAATTAACAACAAATAATAAAGTAATCCGAACCTAATTATCACGTTAATTCTATTGCAGTTTGTTGTAAATCGTACCGCAGGCAAAAAAAAGTTTTTTTACTGCACTTTTTATGTGAATTTTACTTCACCTTTTT